AATCAATATATGTCTCAACAGTGCAGAGAATCTCTTCCATAAAAGAAAAACAAGTAAATTGCAGAGGATAGTACTCTTTTATGACAGAATGGATTTTTTTTAATGCAGTGATATGAGGAAAAAATACACACATGTACATATCTAAACTATGTATATGTAGATCTATGGTCTCGGGCAAAAAGTTTGAATTTTTTAATATATGAATTTGGTACCAATTACTACTATCGAAAGTACTTAGCAAACAAGAATCTTTATAAATAGAATATATTCAGGAAGTAATAACTGTAAGTAACAGTGGTGGAATAGGTATTTGGTGTCTACCTCACCTTTCCGATTTTCCAAAGCAGAACTACGCGAAGCCTACAAAGTATAACTAAAGAAGGACCCAGGCCAGTCCTATACGCCCTTTTTGTATATATGCCCTTCACACTGCCATGCAAAAAAAGGCAATAGCTACTTTCTATCAGGTCCTCTCTTCAGTTCAATTCCTGAAGAATCAGCTTGTTCTAGTTCAGAGTTTGCCCAGTCACCAATCTTCCAACTATAAGGGCTAAACCAAAGCATTGACTCAACACCAAAATGATCACCTTACTACAAATAAAAATTTCATTAACCTAAAGAACCAAGGAACCTAAAGCAAGAGGACCAAAATGGTTAACTTTTTCAATCAAATTAAATACAAGCTCCCTATTTTCCTATGAGAAGTTTAAAATTCTGTAACAAATGATTCCTATATTTTAATACACTTCATCCAGAAACTGAATTGGCTATCATAAGATTCCTAAAATGGGGCTGATAATAAAAGGTTCTTTGAAAACATGCTATGATCAGCATATTCTAGCCAGGAGGAAAACTCCAGTATAAATCAAGATAGCTGTCTGCTACCTGATCTGGTTCTGCAAAAAGGCTGCAGTTAATGCTGTTATCCACTAAGTGGCATTATCAACTCAAAACACCTACATCTGACAAAAGGTAATCACAGTACAGTGCATTTTGCCTCCTACAGGCAATTCATTTTATTCAGGCTTGTCATAAATTCAGGCATCGTTCCAAACAGTCAAATATATTAGTAAATCAGCATTACCAATTTACTTTTCACATCAAGACATCTGCATTCAGCACGATGGTCAGGTTAGAAATAAAACTATTATGACAGACCTACTGAACAAAGAAATCAAAATATTGCAGTAATATGAGCTCAAAGTAGACAAAGAAAAGTATAATATGGTATTTTGAAAGTAGCTGGGGTTTCAGAAGCACTGTACGTCAACAATTCTAGTATTTCCTGTTGTGAAGTGTGAAAGTACAAAAGTCTCACCAGATGCATACTTTACTTCAGATACAGCACTTCAATGAAAGTAATTCTAATAGATTAAGTAAACTGATGCTACCAATTGCTAGAAGGTATTTTTAAAAATACAGTAATTGGGAAAGTAAGTACTATGTTTCACTAATTATTTAAGGATTAGTTTTCAAAATGTTACTTAAGGATTAATAACTGTAAATATAGTTTTTTGAGAAATGTTTACTGGAAAAAAAAAGCATTTAGAAACAGTATAAATACAAGAAAAAAAAAGTATTAGAACAGAATTCTGATTTTAAAGTAGTTTACCCCCCCCAACATTCCTATTCCTTTCTCTGCTCATTTATCACTGTCAATTTCTTCATACTACTGAAAACGAAGCAGAAAAAGACAATTATCAGTAGTACTGTATACAAAAATACAGAAAAATGGAATTAGCAGCTACTTCTGCTTCTCTGTCTCATCAAAGCATGAATTACAAGCTTGTGAAATGTCCTACAAAGCACTCAAAATTCTGAGCATACTTTAATGCTACAAGAATCAAGGCATTCCTGGCTTTTTTTCTTCAGTGATTTTTTTTTTCCCCTTCCTGGCCACAGAGGAATTGCATTAGGACATAGCCCTTTTTCCCTACATCCGCCTACGACAAACATTTGCTGCAAGTCAGCAACTCCAAAACCAAATTGTTTACCATTAACTCAAAAAAGCTATTAGAAAAAAATTGCTCCTTTGTTCCAGTTGGAAAGAGAGACAGCCAGATGTGTGGCTTGTTGATGCTGCTCTTCTCTGACCTCTGAGTGTAGGAAGAACTGCAGCTGAGGAAGGAAGTCAGCAAGTTCTCTTAATGAAGGTGAACTTCGTTAAAAAAAAATAAATTAAAAAAAATCATGACACAAAAATATCTTTTAAAGTGTTTTTTCCTTAAAAAAGTGACGTCATTTAGTGGTGGGCTTGGCAGTCCTTGCGCAAAGGTTGGACATGATCTTAAATCGACATAGTAGATTCTACAGTTCTATTCTATGTAAAGATAACAGAAAACCTTACTTTTTGCTATTGGTGGCAAATTAGAACTATGTTTCAGGAGAAGACAACAGAATCTCATCTTTAGCTACTTCTGGAAAATTATACTCTTAATTTCAAGAACTCCAGTAAGTTTCACTGCCTTAAATTAGCAATGCCTCATCATTAACACCTGCCGGGAAACCATCCTCCTTTGAGAATGCAAAATTCAGGAAAAGCATTTTAATTTTAGGCTCTGAGTCACAGCCTACCACTACAGACCAGAATCAGGCCTAAAGCTGAATTCCAGATTGAGTGTGCCCAGTTCTTTGGAAAACACATCTGGCCAACAATGCAAGGCCAACTACAGTTACTACAGTACCTTTCTGCACATTTCTCCCTGAAATATAAATCTGTACAACACCTAGCAATGAATTAACTAGCAATCTGTAATGAAAACTCCTCATTACACGGTACTCCTCATGACAGTACAGAACACATCTGTGTAAGATATTCTGTGAACATAAAAAAAAAAAAGAACATTTTTCAAAGTCTGCACAGTAACAGGTATGAAACATTACAGTTTGTTTCTTGTGAACTTCCAAATATTTTCTGAAAAAAATTTCTGAAATGCATTCTGAAGTTCCATTACCACAGTGCTCCTCAATTTATCAAGGTAGACAAAAGTAGTAGAAGTTAATAGCAGTTAGATATCATGGTCTGCAGTGATACTACAGGACACAGTATGTGAAGTGCAAATTCACTCTATAGATTCACATTTAGATATTAATTCTGGCACCTAAGCATCAATCCAGGAATTCAACTTAATTGTGTGAATTAGGTTTAATCTTCAGTGTTTCTCTTTCTGCACTGTTAACTTTATCTTTGCAGCTCACACTGGCTTTAGTAGAAAATGATGCCCAATTCTTGTCAACCAGCTACTACTTAAAAACAAATGCTTGCAACCCAAAGACCTGAAAAGTATCATCACAGTTCATCTTTCAACTTCTGCTCACTATCGTATTATTTCATTAAGAAACTTTCCTATGTGTTCTTAAAAAACAGGGAACTGAAAATGAAAAATAGTTTGCTCTCTCTGTTCTCCTGACCCCTAAGGTCATTAAAAAAAACAACTTTAATAGAACAACATGGACATGCATATGTACACACAAAACCATTTCTGTGAACAGTTATATACATCTATTTAAACTAATAAGAAAATTCAAATTATGGAGAATTAGAACAACATTTCATGTCATACTATTCAAAACAGTTGTAAAGGATACTGGTCATTTTAAACAGCCTATGAGATTTAATCTTTCTCTTTGCACCAACAGAAATGAAAAACCTTATCATGTAAGACTTTCAGCACAGTTCAAACAGCTCACAGCTATGAGCACAAAGAATTTCTTCTGCTGCATTAGTATTTAGAAATTATTATTGGCCTGTCACTGTCACATTAAGATTTGATTTCCGGAACCTTTTCTTTCAGAAATAAAACCCCTGTTTAGATGCTTCTCCAGTCCCCATTTTGTCATAGTCTTCTGAAGGAATCAAACTTTAAGGTCATTAAAGGCATAATTAAGAGCTTCATTTTGAAACAAAAAAATCTGTCTTAATATCAGTCAAAGGTCTCCAACAGCAAACACTGCAGACTTCAAAAATTTAACAGAAAAAAAAAACAACTAAAAAAATTTCCCACCAGTGTTAGCTCCCACCAGTTAATTACTTCCTACCAACTAATTAAAGCAGTGAACTACACTACTGTATGGGTTAAATTTAAAGGAATCCATAATTAATAAATCTCTATTTCCTCAGTTTATCCTCATTTCTTGTAATTTCCTGTTTCTCTGACATGTTAGAATCTCCACTCCTACCATTTGCCCCAGCACAGTGCTTATCATGATTTGGCCACATGTGAAGTGTGACAATGAGATCCCACTTATGTTCCCTATAATCTATGCAGTAAACACAAGTAGCCAAACTGGCATGACCTCTAGTATTTCACTAAGAAAGTGGTAGTCTTCAGCGATTATGCCTACAGATCAATACCTTTTATCACATCTCTATCACCCTCTGCTTCCTTCTCAGATACTGAACTCTGCAGCTGTTCCCAACCCTTTCATATTTCACAGTCTTCCTCATCTATCAGACCTTTTCTTGGAGCAGAAAGAAGCAAGAAGTTTAAAGCCACTAAAACAATTTGTTGCTGCAAGGACTGTCACTGATATTCTTGCATAGACAGCAGTACATGTTTGAGTCCACAGTGGCTGATGCAGAGGTCTAAACTGTCAGAAATTTATTCCTCCGAGAAGTCTTTGCAATCCCGTAGATTTTCAGCAGCAAAATACCTAAACCAGCACACTCTGAATGATGTTGATGAAGGGGCAGACAGAAGCGAACCGCAACCCTGAATGGCACTGCACTAATCAAGCAACTACACATCTGATGTTAAAATTAAATCCCAAACAGAGAGACAAAGCAGACTTGCTGGTGCAGTTTCTCTCTGGGAGTATAAAAATTTAGGACAATTAAACTGTTATTATTTAAAATCTCAAATAACACTGGATTAATTCCACAAAGAGATAAACACTCTGTACAAAGTAAGGTTCAGCATACTGCACTCTTTAGCTTTCTCACAATTCATGTATAAAAGAAAAGAGGTACTTAAAAAGACCACTTGGTTATATCTTACCTAAGAAATACAGCGGTTCCAATTCACATTCAAAAATCCAAAGAAGTAATGATGCTAAACATTCAACGTCCGTCTGTTATGAAAAATATTCAAGATTACACTTGGAATCACTGTGGTTTTCCCCTCTTCCTATTTTCAGATGAGACTTTATCTTAAAAAGGAAATATTCATGGAAATCAGAAATTCTGTGAAATTACTCTTTTCAAAGTGAAATTTGTAACATCCAAAAAATTTTTGGAGAAGTACCACTCAAAAATGCTGCTGCGTTGAAATGATCAGATCCTTAAACTAATTTTTGTCCTATATAATTCTGCAGAACATATTCAATTTAATATGGGTTTTATAGTGAGCTATTACCAGCACTGGTACTTCATACTGGCACTGGTATGCATTCTGTTGAGAATTAAAAGAAGTAATAATGAAAGATCGAAAATAAGAACAACTCCAAAGCATTTAGCATTTTACAGCAAAAGCTGTATTTATTTCAAACAATATTTACATTGAAATAGATCAGGTTAAAGCAAAGTTCAGAAATGAATTTTCCAATCTTGAAACTAATGAAATAAAAAATGCAATTTAAATAGTGACAATTTTTTTTTCCTTCAAGTGTTGGTGAAGGGAGGCTAAGAGGAAAACCGGGGGACCAGAGGTCCTTCATAAGGATCTACAGGGACAGCTATTCTTACTACTTTTTCAACTCTTAAATAAACAAAAAAACCCTTAGAGATGCAAATTTGCTCTCAGAACAAATGTGGAATCAGCTTAAGAAATCCACTACAGAAAAGCTCACAAGTGCACTTCCATTTCAACCATAGCTTCAACAATGCTAAGGTAACTCCAAAACCAGGCTTCCCAAATACTCTGGGGTTTACTATCCTCACAACTACAATAAAGCAGAGGTCAAGCTACCAGGTCTATAAATCAGCTGAATTAAGCTTTGGCTTTGGAAAACATGCGATTGTGTTTGTGCAGGTATATTTATAGACAGGACCAAAACCTGGCTCTAACCTAATGATGGACTTTTATAATTTAATTTCAAAATAGCAAGGGTGCTTGATCGCTGTCTAACAAAGAATTATCTTTTGAAACTCAGAAGCAAGATTTTTTTTTAACCTCCTAAAAATAAGTTCCTTGCTGCAAATGGTAACAATTCATTATAAAAGCATATTAAATTAAATCAGAACAGAACACTAATTTCCCAAGTAGAGCACCCACATAGGGAACTAATTAGAAATAGCTCCTCTGTGTAAACAAACCTTTGAACCAATTAATAGCTGGTCAAGTCAGGGAACTCCCTTTCTCTAGAGGAAAAATGTCTATTTTCAGCCTTGTTTCAGTTCACTGCTAGCTGCAAATTCTCTCCACTTCTGTAGCAACAGAGGGTGCTTAGAACTTATATTCAGAGAGTTTAATGGGAATCTGGTCAAGATTTGGAAAAGGAAAAAAAAAAAAGGCTGTAGAAGGCCTAAAAAAACCAAAACAACAACAACAACGACAAAAAACAACCCAAAACAAACAAACAAGCAAACAAAAAACAACCAACCACAAATTAGGACTACAAAAGGCATTAGAACAAGTCCTGTTCTCTGCCTAGGCCAATTCTGTCCCAAGGGTTTACACAGACCAGAATGATAACACTAAAATGACTCAAACAGTGGAGTAAGTGAAAAAATGTACACGGCAAGAATAATTCTCAATTATTGCTCTATAATAACAAAAGCAAACAAATAAAACCTCAAAATGAGACTATAATGCCCAGATTGCATTTTGAAAGGATCAGTTAGGTGCAACAGTAAAGCAACATAACAGGATGCTGTTCAAGGGAGTCTGAGTATTCATTTATCATTTATGACATTCAAATCTGCTAGACAGCTGTTCTGTGAAAGACAGAAAAGTACCAGAGTTGACTCTAACCTGGCTGAAGATTATCCAGATCCTTCCCGATACTTAGAGAGAGGCTGCAATCTGTGGATTTTAAAATTGGAAAGAATCATTATTAATGAAACTCAAATAAAAGTCAAAAAAGTTACTTAAATGTCTTCAAAACACAGTAATATACCAAACGTACACAGTACAACAGTACAATACACAGGCTGGCGAACTCATAGGACAACACATCTGGAGAGTGAGCTACTGTCAGCGTGTTTGGAACACTTAAGTTTCCAGAGAGTGATGCAGCTTACATGGGAAAGAAGCTGGGAAGGGAGCATCAGAGAATGGGCAAAGCAGGAACACCTCAGGACAGAGAAAGGACTGGAAGCACCTCATGGAACCCAGAAAACCACCATTTCCTACAGAGTGGTGATGTGGCAAGAGTCAACTTCTGACCCTCCAGCCCTGCCAGGTTGCAGAAAGCTCCATATACCATTCCTTTCTACAACATTTACTGAAGACATATGAAAACATGACCCTTTCCCTCTTGACACAACAAAAATGACAAGCCTGAGACTTGAGAATGCCAGCACTCATTAAATGAGCATCCCTGAAAAAGTTTCAAAGAGGGCATCCCACTTACCAGACCGTGTTAACTCTCAAGCTACCTAGCATTTACGTATTTTCCAAACTTCATGTATTTAAAGTGAACTGGAAAGAGTGCTTATGCAAAAACACAACAAGATTCATGTTAAGCAGAAACCAAAGCAGATTTACTAGCAGGAATGAAAGTGAAGGTGGTAGAAGAGAATGGATGAAAATTCTGAGGAAGGATTACAGGTGGGAAGAAGAAACTGAAAGAACCGAAACAGAAACACTGCAGGCGAAGAAAGAGGACTGTGAAATTTAGATTACCATCAGAAATAAAAATGGTGGAATTTAGCTTTGAAAGGGCAAATCTAGCACAGACTATGCTGACATAACATTAGCTGGCTTTGGAATGTCACAGCACGAAAAAAGACTCTGTGTCAGTTTGAGAAAGGGGAGGAAACTATTTGTTAGCTAAATACCTTAAATATATTAATCAATTAAATACCTCTTACCAAAGCAGATACCTGCAGAACTGCACTTATTTGACCCATGACCTGATCCATTTATCTGATCCACTCCAGAAGGAGTTCAACAATGTGAAAGGTTTTAGTCACTGAAGCCACAGGCAACTCAGTCTAATTGAATTCACAACCCATTACCACAAGAAAGAAAACAGAAGTAAAAAGACCTCAGAGTAAGGGAAAAAAGGTACTAAATGTGTGCTTCTTTCTGTAAGTATTAAACGGAAATATGCACAAAACTCATAATTTGAGAATGAACAACTACTTTGTTCCCTTCAAATTTGTCTACAGAAGTATTTGAACAGGAATGTTTTTTCAGGAAAATTAATTAATTATAGAATATGACTCAGAAGTTTAATTATGGTAAAAAATTGCCAGAAACCTTTAAAATGATCAAGTGGGATAGAAAAAAACAACCCTCTATGGAATAAAAAACTGCTATAAGAACTGAAATAACAAAAAAAAAACTGTTCATCAGAGCTAAACCTAGTAAGCAAATTAAAAATCTTGAGAACTAACAAAAACCAAAGGAAAGGTATATGAGAATTTTCTTGAGCTGCATTTATAATTTCCATATTTTAATGTTAGACCTCTTTGTTCTGTTATATAACTTGGCTTATTTCGAGAAAATTAAGAGTGCTGGCAACAGTAAGTGCTCTCACATGACATAGGTGCAAAATATACTCACAAAAAGCTTACAGACTGAGAACTGGACTACAGCATAGTTAATTCTGAAGTCAAAACACATTTTTATAGAGAAAAACTAAATTTTGGAAACAAAAACCCTGCAACTATCAAGGAGTTATCTCCTGTTCGGCTGAATCATGAGATTACAAAAACTTTGTGAATTATACAGAACAGCTGTCCTAAGCACAACTTAAGAATTAGCTACCATGGAATTATATTTTTAACAAAATACACATTACATCCTGGAAGTCTGCTTTTTAACCTTTTTTACAATTTACCCCAGATATCCAAATTTCTTTCAGTCTAAAACAAAACCAAACTAAATCGATCTTAAATGGAATGTTGTCATGGTTTAAGCCCAGCCAGCAACTAAGTACCATACAGCCATTCCCTCACTCCCGCTGTGGTGGGATGGGGAGGAGAATCAAAAACAATGTCAGTCCAATTTATAGAGTTACTACGATGAATAGGTGTGACATGGCATTAAAAAAAGGCAACTATGGACAACTGCCAGGAAGCAGTACTTGTGCTTCCTTCTTGTGCTTGTGAAGTTATTGCTTCAAGCACAGTGTGGAACAGGCTGCAAAGTTCACTGAGGTAAGACATTCGGACTGAGAGAAATGCTCTCAAGTGGGAAAGCAAGTGCCACGGGAGAGAAAGGATAAACCACTCTGACTGAAAAACCTTCAAATTTCCAGTTTCAGGTCTTTAGAACAGAACTATTACCTTACAAGTTAACATAAACAGTCCAAGATTGATACAGCCAGGGAGAATGAAGAGGGACAACATTTTACTATGTTTGCAAAATACCTAAATAATGATACTTTTTACAATATTCTGACCTAAACGTGGGGTGAAGAAACATGGTTATTAACAACCGCTGTCCTCCTCAGGAGAATTTACAAGTTGTTAAGAAGCAATCATTTCTTAAACACAAAAACAGACAGAAATAAACAGACATGCTGTAAACCTTAGCAAAAAGCTTAACACTGCTCTGAGGAAAGGATGTCAACAAGGAGGACAACCACCACATATTAATGCAAAAGAGAAAATTCTCTTCTCCTGTATTGGCAGCATCCCGTAAAGTAAATTTATCCCTAGTTAAAATGCATTTATACAATTAAACACAGAAGTCAGTTGGGTACCCTTGGCGTAGTAGTCTGGGGGACCTGCTGGGAGTAAAGCTTATTATCCACCCAGGGATTTGAGCAGTCATAGTCCACAACCAATTTGAGTTGAGGCAAAAGACAGCTGCTACTTTGAAAGTTTCCTGCTGTGTAAGAAATAATTAAGGCTGTATGATCAGTGTTCAACAAAGCATAAATAGCAAAGATGCTAAATTAATTCTACTTGCAAATCAAGAGTTAAGTGAAGTCACATTACAGAAGGGACTACATAATATTGCAGTTCAAAGGCGAAACAGAAGAGTTAAGTATGATGAAGTGTGTGTCGGAGGCAAGACTCCAAATCGTAATCCTAGGCAACAACATTATTTCATGTTTTAGAAGTTCTTCACCCAAAAAGGTAGAAAGTATATATTCCAAAACGATATCTATATTTTGATTTAGTATCAAAAATTAAAAAAGGAGCAGCAGCAGAACACAACATTGTATGTTCTGAAAAAGCACAGACTCATTGAAGCCTTTACTACCAAGCTGGTACTGTTTAAATATTATGCAGAAAGATGAAAGAGATGTCAATGGCAACACAGATAATTCAGGGCAGTTCATCCTTAAAGCATCCCAACCAGAACTTCAATTCTCTCCTCTCACACGACAAACCACAACACGAATTTGCAGCCCAGGAATGGCACTTGTCCCATCACTGTCCACACAGGGACCAGGAGCTAAATTTCTGATTGCCCGACCGCTTGCAGGTGAGGGGATACATAGCCAGTTCACCAGGCAACCTCACCATCCTCATCTACAGAAGAGAGGTGAAGAGACGAATGGAAGCACTCTATGGACTTGAGTCTCATGACTTCTCTGTTAGACCAGACTGCTAAATCATCAGAATTCAACGGCTTTAACACTGCTGAAGAAAAACCACACACAACTGCCCTCCATACCCTATAGCTTTGACTAAACATAAAATCAGACTTGCACCTCCTTCACAGGAAGCAATCAGACAATTAGAAGAGGGTGAAACATCTTCTTGAGGCAGGGATTCTGCAGGAAAAACCTAAATATAATGCCAACTCAGGTCTGCACTAGCACATTGCTACTGCTCCTGTAGTTAACAGAAGGCAAAGCTTAGGACAGGGATAAGTTTTACACTACCTCCAGGATATATATCCTCTGGTTTAGGACACCGTAGATGCCATCTGCTTACATTTAACTTATTCATTTTGATTCAAAATAATTCTTTATTTTTTTTTAAACTAGTACTTTCAAAACGGCTAATTACACCTGTGTATTTCCTGAGGCTTTTCTTATGAAAACAATATGAAACTCAATCATTCTATCATTTCAAGCTGCTCTGGTTTATTTTTCCAGCTTTCCAGACACAGCTTCTCCTTTCAGGTTGCACAGATTTTTTTCTCCTACCCTTCTAAGCACATAAAGACAATCCTACCACTGCCTTCCCAAAGAAGCTGCTGAAACCCAGCTTCCTGGAAAGCAGAATCTGAGGCCACATATATGTCAGAAAATAAAACAGACCAGGGCACACAGCCATGCTCTCGGCTTGGAACCAGTGAGCATGGTACAGCTCGTGGCTGGACACCTAAAATCCCTCCGAAAAAGCCTGGCCAGATCCAAGCAGCCTGTTGGAAATGGTCCATCGTCTCTCCTAACCCCAGAACTATGCTTGGGCATTATCTGGGAAAGTGTTAGCTGGCACAAGGCAAAACTGTGTCACAAACAGTACTAAAAATGTAACAGTACAGTCGCGTACCATACCTATTCCTTATTTAGTTCCTACTATGAACATGTATCATTAAGTACCAAGTTGCTTCTGCGTAACATAATTTTCAGAAGTTAATTCTGTAAGTAGCCAATGCATTTCAGAATTACCAGGTCACATTTTCCAGGCATTATAGCTTCTTCTGGGTTTAGTATCACATCCTCACTTAGGTGGGTGCTGCTTTCAGACCAAGAGAACAGAACCAAGTAAATGAGTAACAATTGAGTATTTGTATTTCCACATATATATGCATGCATACATATAATATGCAGCACAGGTGAAAAACTGCCCTCTGCATTTTGGAGTTTTTTATTGTGTTCAGGCAGACTGAAGATGAGCATCTGACTTTTTGATTTCAGCAAGCCTGCACTGCTGTCAGTGAAACATTGA